AAATCTTCGTACATGAATTAATCGTTGATGAGAGTGAATAATAATTTCCGTAAGATCATTAACTGTTTTTGAAGAAAACATTGTGGTGGCAGTCGTTGCCGAGCTAGTTTCGTTGTTTTTCAAAAGTGTGCATGCGCTTTTTTTTTCTTTTCTTACGCGCTCTCTAATTGACAAATGTCAGATTGTGACAGATACTTGTAAAAATAATTTTTCAAAGTTTGTTAGGAAGCCTTTTAAATCACCTTCATCATTACGCAAATGAAAATGTTTCGGTGAAGCATCTCTCTTTAATTTGCATCACCTCAATTTTACGTATGATAAAATTATTGCAATAAATGAGTTTCAACGAGCAAGGAGTTAATGTCACTGACTTGTTTGCATCATAAACCTTCCTGCATGATTTTACAGCTTAAAGGTAGAAACTGATGTTAGAAATACATTGTACTGTTAAAAATGAAGAAGAAATGAAGAAGGTAGAGCTATAAGTAACTAAAAGCAGGCGGTTGTCGCATGATTGGAAAGCTTTTGTTGAAAGCGTAAAATCGATTTGAAAATCAAGTTTCTCTCAATTTTCCCACTGATTCTTGGAAAAAACTGAATCTAGTTTAATAGTTTTTTTTTACTTAAAATGGGATCTAAAAGGGAATAAAACTGTAAGATCCCATGTTAGATTACGGTATCCCAGATTTTTTCTGGGTGAATTCCGAATTATCGAGTCTGAATTCGAGCTCAAGTTAGATTTTGAACTTTTAATTGAACTTCAAGTCTGGAGTCAATGAAGATAATTCAGTTTATTCGCAACTTGACAATTTATTGCAGTAAATTTAGACTAAATGAGCGTCTGAGTTGAAACATTTTGCAAACCGCAGCTGCAATTACAACTGCTGAGAGTGCCTGTCCCGTAATATTCGCCCTCAAAGCCCTTTTTTACAGACATATTCAGAAGTGTTATCTGTATAGGTTATCACACAGCTACCACCGTTATAGCACAGGAAGGGAAAACATGGAGACTAACAGAAGAAGAAAAGCAAACCAATCATCTTGCACTGCACTCGTAGTTCCAATGATTAATAAACAGCAAGAGATTACATACCTATCCAACTCTACGGCAGAATTAAATTTTTAATTTATCAACGTTTCTTCATAATAAGGCCCGGTAAGAAAGTTTGTGAAAGTTACGAGTGCAATATGGTGTTGCGTAAGCACGGGTAAAATTTTTTAAAGACAGCAAAATTGCACAAGCCCGAAGGGCGAGTGCAGTTTGAAGTCTTTAAAAAATTTACAAGTGCTTATTTACCCTAAGTTCCAATCGAAATCGGCTCATTGCGTTTGCCAGAGCGTGAACTGAAAATAATTCATTGGTATTCCAGGTCGCATGATTGGGTGTTGTTGTTGTTTTTTCCAGTCAGTTCTCTACAGACGAGTTCTTTCAATACATCAGATAATCAGCGACCTTAGATATAAGAGTCTCAATGGGGTCGAGGGGTGCCTTAGACAAAAGGAAAGGGAAAAAACATGAGTAAGAAAATCAATCCGCTAACATATCAGAGAACCTGTCGTATCCAGATTGTAACCGTGCGGGGATCCCAAGATTGATTGAATCGTCTGGATAGTAATACCATTTGTTTGTTAAGAGGGCCCACGGAAGCACAACTAAAAAAATTGTGGTTTGTCATCATATTAAATAATCTTTTCATCACAAGAGACTATTAGTGTTGTTTGTCTCACGATGTGGTCACTTCGAATGTGGATGGCGACGTTGTCTGCTTCAGGCCATGAGGTGCATTATGCTGTGTGGCATATGCTGTTGGAAAATTCAACAAGGAAGGAAGTCGTGTCATGCAGATATCTTTACAAGACACACGGACGGTCAAAAT